TAGAACTGAGTGGTTGGTGCCCATCCTCACTGATGAGCCTCATCGATCACTGCCTAGGTGGTATCTGGCAGCCTTCCACACTCCCCACAGCAGCATGCTGGGACCCATAAGCACACTGGTGTGGTTATAATTTGGGATTTAAAAAGTTCCCTGAAAGGCCAAGTGATAAAGCCTTAGTTGTCAGTTGATGGGCTTTTCAGATCTCATTGTAGGGGTTAATCCATTGAAGTCCTCAGAATTTGATGAGCTATTGGAGGGTAATGGAAGAATGTAGGACCTAGTTGAAGGGACAAGATCCTTGGAGGTGTGCCTCTCATGCTGTACCTTGTCCCCGACCTCCACACTCCATCCTACCCCTGCTCCTCCCTGCTTCCTGGCCACCATGAATTGAGCGGCTTTCCTCGGCCACCCCTTCCACCATGATGCTCTGCCTCACCACCAGCCCAAAGCAGTAGAGCCTAGAGACTATGAATTGAAGCCTCTAGAGAGTCAAAGCAGGATTTTCTCAGGTATGTTACCATAGCAACAGACAGCTAACACAGCCTCCAGCAGAGGTGAGCCACACTGTCCTGTCTTCTGTCCATCTTCCCGGAAGCTGACAGCCAGAAGGACCTTCCACTCTTGCTACTTACTTCCCTCTTGCCCAAAGAATAAAGTCTGAGTCCCTCAGAATCCCCATCCCCTCCTCCTAGATGTGACGCCCCTCTGCTGACGCCATCCTCGCTGAATTGCCTATAGCCTTCCACCTAGATTTTCAGGTGCCTCAGTGCCTTTGCATATTCTGTTCCCTCCACCTAAGATGCATTTCCCTACCCTTCTGTCTGGTAAACTCTTGTTCATCCTTCAAGACCTGCCTTTCCCCTCTCTGAGGCAAAGTTAAAGGTTCTCCACCTCCAGCCAGGTGAGCCTCACACGGGGACCTATGTGTCACTGGATTGCAGCCTCTAAAAGTTGCAGCATCTGATAAGCCCTTTGCTTAAGTCCCTTGAAGTGGGTGGCTAGATAGGAGGCCTGCTCAGATGCTGATGATCCCATGTCACCCCACACCAGCCTCCCTGGCCAAGTCTTGCTGTAGCCCAAAGAAAGACAGGCCTCAACTGGTTCATCCAGACACAGGCCTGGCTCCAAGCAGGGATGGGAGTTGACGGGCCTTGGCTGCATTGCTTTTCCTGGCAGCCAGCTCTGAGATGAAAAGCAGAAGGAGATTGATGAACCCCACCTAAGCCTACAGGGGGCTCGGGGCCAGAGGCTGGGGACATCAGGGGGCCAAGATGAAAGCTATAGGGTGGCTCATATGATAGATGTCAGGCCAGTTTTCTGGCTCTGCCCTTTCTCTCCTACCTGGCCCTGGGTGGCAATGTGAGGCCTTTCACAGGTGTGGGCCAGAACACAGCACCAGTCAGTCAGCTAGGCTGTACCCCAAACTCCTCCCACCTCCCCTGTCTCTCACCTTAAGGCAGGGAAATGTAATCAGAAAGCAGCCTTTGGGAACAGCAGGGCTGAGGCAGAAGTCTAGAAGGTTCTGAAGACATAGGCCCTCTGATGGGGACAGAGGCTGTACATGTTGAATGGCCCAAGGCATGCCCATCCCCCACCCTCCTTGTCCACAGGTGGAGAGTGAGGGGTTCAACCTCAGCCACCACTGTGCCCCGAGAGCTTTAATTCCTGGGCCAGACCCATACCCAGAGGGATCAAACAAGACTCTGAAGGTGGCACCAAGAAGTTTGAACATGAGTTCAAACTGCAATTCAGATGAAGGCTTAAAGCCTGGGCTTCTAACACTTTCCAGCATTGTAGCCTGGATCTTCAAAGCCCTCAGATGCCCATGTGTTAATTGCCTAGTTGCCCATCTGTGGCACTGTTGGGAGGTGGAACCTTCAGGAAATGGCAGAAACAGGTCATCATTGGCATGTCCTTGAGGGGATTATGGAACTCCAGTTCTACCCCATCCCTCCCGTCTCTTGGCTCCCATGAAGTAGACAGACCTCCTCCATCATGCAACAGGCCCCGAGCAACAGGGCCACATGGCATGGACTGGAATCTCTGAAATTATGAGCCAAAATAAACCCTCCCTCCTTCATGGTGTCTGTCTTGTGTATTTTGTCATAGCGACTAAAAGCTAACACATCCAGGTACATGTTATCAGCCAGTGGAGCTGTGTTCCAAGGAAGGAAGAGTTGACAGGAGCAAATAGAGACCAGATGAGCTTGTCTACCAAGAGGACAACAAGCTGAGCAGCCGGCCTTGGAACTCTAGACCAGACAGAGCAGGGGCTTAATTGAAACACTGAAACACAAAGTGTCATTCAAGAGCTATGGGGGCAGTGGAAACATAAGCTTGGAACTTTAGAGGTTCCAGAGACCCAAAAAGAAAAAAAAAAAGACATCAGCAATTGCACTTGAAGACCTTAATACACTTAGAATTGTAGTCGAGGGCTAGCGAGATGGCTCACAGGGTAAAGGTGCTTGCCACCAAGCCCAGTGACCTGAGTTCGATCCCTAGGACCCATGTGGTAAAAGGAGAGAACTGACTCCCTAGGTTGTCCCTCTGACCTCCATGTGTGTGCTCCATGGCACATGAACACACACATAAATAAATGTAAAGAATTGTACTAGAGTTGATTAAATATGAACAAACACACACACACACAATTTGAACACCCTGATTAATAAAGTATAACAACCCAACACAGAGGCCCAGTTTTTTTTTTTAAGGCTAATCATCTTTGAATGTGCCTTTTCTTTTTGTTTTTTATTTTATTTTTATTTTATGTGTATACATGTATTGCCTGCATGTAGGTAAGTGCACCCATGTCATTCAATGCCCCCAGAGGTCAGAAGAGGCTGTCGGATCCCCTGGGACTGGAGTTACAGATAGTTGTTAGCTGCCATGTGGA